ATGGATGATAAATTGATGATCAATTGATGATAAATTGATAAATTTATCAATTGGTAAATTGATAAATTGATAAATGGATTAATTGATAAATTGATAAATTGATAGATTGATAAATTGATAAATTGATAAATTGATCAATTGATAAATTGATAAATTGATAAATTGGTTAATTGAATAAATAAATTGATGATAAATTGATGATAAATTGAAGATAAATTGATGATAAATTGATGATAAATTGATGATAAATTGATGATAAATTGATGATCAATTGATGATCAATTGATGATAAATAAATGTTACATTGATGATAAATTGATGATAAATTGATGATCAATTGATGATCAATTGATGATAAATAAATGTTACATTGATGATAAATTGATGATAAATTGATGGTAAATTTATAATAAATTGATGATAAATTGATGATAAATTGATGATCAATTGATGATCAATTGATGATAAATAAATGTTACATTGATGATAAATTGATGATAAATTGATGATCAATTGATGATCAATTGATGATAAATAAATGTTACATTGATGATAAATTGATGATAAATTGATGGTAAATTTATAATAAATTGATGATAAATTGATGATAAATTGATGATCAATTGATGATCAATTGATGATAAATAAATGTTACATTGATGATAAATTGATGATAAATTGATGATAAATTGATGATAAATTGATGATAAATTGATGATAAATTGATGATAAATTGATGATAAATTGATGATAAATTGATGATAAATTGATGATAAATTAATGAGAAATTGATGATAAAATGATGTTTAATTGATAATTAATTGATGATAAATTGATGATAAATTGATGATAAATTGATGATAAATTGATGATAAATTTATGATAAGTTTATGATAAATTGATGATAATTTTACGATAAATTGATGGTAAATTGATGATAAATTGTTGATAAATTGATGATGAATTGATTAATTGTTAAATTCATGTGTTAATAATTTAATAAATTTATAAATAAAAAAAATAAAAAAAAACATAAATTAATAAACAATTAATAATAAAATAAAATAAATAATTAATAAAATAAATTATGATTTTATAAAATAATGAATAAATAAACTAATAAATAAATAAAGTAATAAATAAATAAAGTGATAAATAAATATATAAATATATAATAAAAATAAAATTAAATAATAAATAAATAAATAAATAAATAAATAAATAAATATAATTTTAAATAAAAAAATATATACATAAATAAAAAAAAAAACAAATAAATAAAACTAATTTATAAATAAATTAAACTAAATGATAAATACATAAATATGTATGATGCCTTCCTGCAGGAAATTTTAGATCGTGAATTTAAAAAAAACAAGGGTCTGACACTTTGATTTTTTAGGATTCTGAGACTTTGGAAGATTTTCAAGATTTCAGGCTTAGACATAAATTCGAAAATTGTATGCAGGCCTAGGCTTAGAATTTTGGTCGACTTAGATACCGGATTTGTGACCAATTTAAAATTCGAGACCTGCTGAAATTTTCAATATTCAAGATTAATTAAGATAAATATCCCAGACAACAACAATTTTCTTTATTTGACATGTTACCAGCGTTGCCAGATACACCGACTTATAAGTTTTATACCTATTTTCGAACTTGCTACCGATATACAGATATTTTTTTCTCAAAATACAGATTTTTGAGATTTCATACCGATATATACCGATTTATTTAAATAATCAATATGATTATTGCCTGCACGCGCTGAACTGTCAAAGAAAGCTATTGTGAGAGGCTTTCATTTTTCTTTTCTTTTTTAATATCTCAATTTTTCATCATTAAACATTTCTTATACGATACTCTATCGACTAATGTTAATGAATCGTGAATCAGGTGATCGCCTATCCCGCTAATTCATGGGAATACTTTTATTCAGTGAACAATAAGGTCCCCTAAAATTTCCATTTTTGACTTCCTGAAGTTTATTCGTAAGTTATTTTCCGATTCCTCCCAGAAGTTATACCGATTTCCCATGGAAGCTTCTTCTGACTTCGCTCGAAAGGTTCATCCATTTTCTCCCGTCAGTTTTTTTTTATTACTTTATTAAAGAGATTTTCAGCCTTCGGCTGGTTTATCTCTGCAACCCGTCAGTTGTTTTATTCAATTGCCCCGGAACATCAGAAATGCTTTCAGAATTTTATTGCGGTTCGTTCCATTGGCTTCAGGAAAACTGCGGGAACTTTTAAGAAGTTCTGAAACTTAAGAAATGATCAGAATTTCGGGTACGTTCATAAGGGTAAGTTAAATTAAAGAAAGCTTCATTAACTTCTGTTAAAATTCGAGAACTCTGGAATTTAAGGCAACTCTAGAGAACTTATGGCAACATCATAAATATTTCGGAAACTTCACAAGTCCAAAGAACTTCAAGGAAATGGTTTTTGAGGGCAGTTCCGTTTGTTTCAGGAGAATGTGAAGATCTTTTGGGAAGCTCTGGGAACATCAGGACAGATCAATAGTTTTAGGAAAATTCCTGAAGGAGTTCCGAGAAACTCAGGCAATTTCTGGAAACTTCAACGAAGTTCCGAGAGGTTTATACATATTTTGGAAACGATATGAAAGTTGCATGAGCATCAGAATATTGTGAGCGCATTTTAAGAAGTTCCGTGGCAGTTTCGAGAACTTTAAAAAATTATAAAAATTAGGGAGATCAATGAACTTCAATGCTGATGGTCCATTAATTTAAAGATTATTGATAAAGATATTAAGAAATTCAAATTTTCAAGATAGTCCAATGACATTCAAAGAAGATTAGAGATTTTCTGGTATTTCCGAGAACTTCAAAACAGCCCCATTACACTTCAGGCAAATTGAAGGAACTTTCAAGGAGTTCTGAGTAATTTATGGGATGGGATGTTCCGAAGTGCATTTCAGGATTGTTCCGAAAACTTCAGGTCCGAAAACAACAACATTGCGGTGTCTTTAGGGATGGTTTTTGAATTTCAGGAAATTATCTGTATCTTTAGAACATGCAAGGAAATATTTTTTTTTTTATTTTTTATTATAGTCACTGTAACGCTCTTGGGTCATTCGTGACTTGTCCGGCGGTGAGATTTGAACTTGTGACTTTAGCGTGAGAGGTATGGATGCTAACCACTACGCCGGGGTCGACCCCTTAAATTCAGATAAAAATGATTAAGAAACTTTCCTGAAATTAGAAAAAAATCCCCACAATGTCTCTGAAGTTTTTTAAACATTCCATAAATGATTCTAAATATCACATAATTACTCGGAACTCCATGAAAGTTCCTGCAATTTTCCTGAAGTCTTCCGAAATTTTTCCCCAACTTGTCCATGAACTTTCTTTTGACTGTTCCGTCAGCCCTCTGGCTTCCACTTTTCTCCAGAAGTTTCTTCCAATCTACCTTAGGAAGTTCGTCTCCAAGAAGTTTCCTCTGTCTTCTCCAGGAAGTTCCATTAATCATCTACCGGATGTATATATCGAATTCTCGTACAAGTTTCTTTCGACTTCTATTGGAAGATTTTCCGAACTTCTTCTGGCTTCCCCTGGAAATGCCTACTCCTGGAATTTACTTCCAATTTCCGTAACTTTTCTGGCTTCCTCTGGATGTGTCATTAGATTTCTTTAAATTTTCTTGGAAGTCGGATGATTTTCAACCTTTATTCACACTCTGGAAGATTTTTTTGTTGGTTTCCTTTCAGAAGCTAATTCAAACATTCCTCGGAATTCATTTTGAAATAGTAAATTTTCAGTTCTTAGTCCAAAAGTTTGAATTTTCGCCTTCAAAAACGACAAAAATATAAAATTAATTAAAATGGCAAAACCGGTAAATACTGAATTTAAAAAAAAAAATTATGCCGATAAGCATGAAAATAATCTGGCAACGCTGGATGTTACCCCTTTCCCCTTTATTTTGACACCGGGCTACGCACTTGTTCTTAGATATTACACAAACAAAGCAATCATCGCCTTTGTTTAGGCTTTCATTTTGTTTTCAAAGACATATTTTTTAACGTGGTAAATTATGAAAATAAATTCATATTCCAAGAACCTGTTTCTGTGCTCCTGATGCACGTGCGTGCTGCTACAATAAAGATAGAATTACACATTTGTACTGGATGTTTTTGTTGAAAAAATAAACCATTACCAAAATAAATCCAACGCACTAGGGCTTTGGACCTTGAACGACCTGCGTCAAGACGTTTTCCATTCCGTCCGTTAGTTTGACTGAGAATTTATTACACTCCCCTGGGACTTTACGCCGGCTCTCAACTTTGTATTCTTTGAGCATTTCTACAGTTGGTTATTGTGTGACAAGTTCAACCATATTCTTTGCCCAGGGAAGTCGTGATATCGAACCCAGTCGCCTTGCTGTAAAGCGTATTCCAACAGTTCAATAAAGTCTAACCTTATTTACCTTGAGCAAAAGTGATCCAAAGCATTTATGCTAAAAGCTCTTAGCTGCAAACTACACCATTACCAGTGCTAATACCTTAAACTAGCAGCCAGTAGTGAAAGGCGAATTCATTCATATGCCGACGTATCAATGTAAACAGTTGCAGTTGAGGCCTACGAAATTTAGCGAAACAGATCTCCAATGTTGATACTTTTTTCTTACCTGTGCACATACCAAAACAACAACAGCAGTGCTGTTTTCTGTTTGCATGCATACAGACAACAACAACAACAACAACAGTCGTCATCCGTTGGTGTTCTACGGTGCACAGCGTGGTCGAGCATTATCTTGAATCTCGCGAAACATACTGTAACAGCCTTGATTAGAACGTTGAATCTGTGTAGCTGATTGCTGCTGCTGCTGTTGCCGCCATCGTCATGTTTTGTCGTGAATCAAGCAAAAATCCTAACCGCACTTTCACACCCCCTAAAAGAAACTTTAATCGATCTGCAGGACTTTCCGAGTGCGAAGAACATCCCACCCCCGCATGGAATGATTCAACAGTTTTCTGTATTTTCCCAGATCTATCCTACAGCCGGGTCAACGACGAAGGCGAAGCGTCGTCAAGCGAAGGAATTTCAGTTGTGACTCGATTTCGAATTTTATTTGAATTTGAATATTCCTACGGGTGAGTGAGTGAGTGAGCGAACGAAAAACTACCGCGTGGATCAAGTTGATTGAGCCAAAAGTTAGTAGGCGGTGAGTTGCTGGTAAACCGAAAGTGAAACGACAACAGCGCAGAGCTGTATAACCTTTAGGTTCCTGCGTGGAGTCTGTGTGACATCGAGGTGCGGTTTGAGTGCGCGGAGTGAAGAGGGGAAAAAACGGTTTCCAAGCCAGTAACAGTCGGGGATTTTGTTGTTTTGTGAGTTCTAAGTGTTGTGTCTTGGAGGCCTTAGTAGTGTACGGATCGCGATATTACCGTTACCATTCACCGTCGTGCGTCTAGCGTCTAGTGGACTATACGAAGAGAGAGAGAGAGTGAGAGGAAGTGAATAATAAATTTGCGCCCAAGGTAAGTCTGTGATGTTGCCTATGTGGTTGAAAATGCATTAAGTGTGTTTCTACAGCGAACCGGTTGTTGTTCTGCAAAGGTTCTTGAGATTAAGAACCGTGGGTTCCTATGGGAGTATGGATCTGAATTAACTGCACATTTGTTCAGTTTGTTTTGTTGATGTTCAAATTTCACGATTGCAATATAAATTTGATGTGGTGCTCATTTTGAAAATTAGCGACGCAATTGTTGGTTTTCCGACTCTGAGTGCCGCTCCACTGCATGCGATTCGGTCTCTAATAAGCTGTCAATCAATCGCCTTGCGGTTAATCAACAACCACTCGGAGCGTTTCCTAGTCAGAGCGACCTTCTCTTCTCGGCCATCATCAGTGCACAATCCCGATAGTTCCAATCAAAACTAGAGTTTCTAATCTCCTCTTGGAGGATTTCGCACCTTGGCTAAATCTCACGGAGCTAATTCTCAATTTCAATCCCACGACCTCCTGACCATATTAACAAAACGAGTCGAAAAAGTTCGAGCTTCGCATTTGACACTAGCCCATTTATAGCCCCAGTCAGTGGTTGTGGTGGAAGACAACAAGCAAGAAACAGACAGCTGCTGCTCGGGGCTTGGTGGCGTTGATTGCAGCACCTTTCGCCTCCGAGTTGCGCGCCCTAGTTGACGACGTCAAGGTACCCCTAACAGTTTCGCAGCGGGTGGTGCTTGCATAGTTTTGACAATACCTCCCGAGCAACGGAACATTCCGAGAGAGCGTTTCACCGCATGCAAGATACCAATGCGGTGAGAAGTGGAGGTCTCTCTTATCATAAATAATGCATTATTTCTCACATCAAGCTGATTGCAGCCGGCAGTCGTCTCATCTAGCTTCTTGTGATGATGCTTAGATTCGTGCTGATGAGGCACTCGTTCCCCATTTCTACGCATGTGTGGGTGTGGGTGGGTACATAGAAGTTTGGTGAATAGGCACCACACCACCAGGTTCAATAGGGTCACGAGGTGTGCAGAACAGCTCGCAGTCAGTCGTGCTCAATTGAGCGTGTAGAACTGTGATTGGGAGGAGATGGTTGTGAACGAGGAAACGGAGGGTCGCCAGCAACAGTAGTGGCTAGTGATTCAAGAATGTGGTACCGAAGGTCGTAGAGCGACGCGGTGACTGAGTTGCTCTAAATACTGGTGGCTTGAATGAGCAGCAACAGAAGCAGAAGCAATGGTAATAAAGTTCGGTTTGGTTTTGCTTCGGTTGTTTCCTACAACGCCCCCTCCTTCCGCGGTGTTGCTGCACTGCCAGGTGATGATGGCCGGTGGGAATTGCGAGATGGTGGTACACTAGGGTGCTTCATTCTGAAAAAAGTAATGAATTTCTGATGGGCCACCCTCCAGTTCGATTCATAGCCCCAAAATATGAACCTGTGCAAAAATTGGTAAAGATTGATGAAGGTTTAGAGGTCGCGCCAATGATTTGAAATTTGTATGGGAATTACTATGGAAGAATTTAAAAAATCGCTTATATCGCTATAACTTTGCTTCTACTTGTCCAAATGTCGAAAAAATTTAGTATGTTATTGCTATGGCAATAAACAAAAAGCCTACAGTTGCTACGCTCAGTTTTGCAGCGTATCAAGAATTATAAAAATGTGAAAAAATGGCAAAATAGGGTAAATTGACAGATGAATATGTACAAGGCAACAACGCCAATTTCATCGCAACAACAACAGGCTTGTTGATCATTGTCATGACAACCACATATTTTTTTTTTTCAACGTTTGGACAACTACAACCAAAGTTAGAGCAATGTAAACGAAAATCAATAATTTCCCATACTAATTCACCAAAATCTCCATACAAAATCCAAATCATTGGCGCGACCTCTAAACCTTCATCAATCTTTACCATTTTTTGCACAGGTTCATATTTTGGGGCTATGAATCGAACTGGAGGGTGGCCTATCAAAAATTCATCACTTTTTTCAAAATGAAACACCCTAGTGGTACACTTACGAAGTTGGAGCGGAAGTGATTTCGGAATGTGTGTTTACTTTCGGCAGCTCCGTGCCTAGGTGATGGCGAAGAGGACTGATGTTTGGATTGTTTTTAAATTCAGTAACACACGTCGTTTGTAGCACGCTTTTTTTTTCTTAAATACAATACCAGGAAAAGACTTGATAGCAGAAAAGTACACGTGGATTCATCAATTTTGAATTTTGAACAGTTTTGAGCCGGGATGTATGGTAAAACGGGGTGAAGTTGATCATTGAGGGGAAGGTGATCACTACACCGTTCATTTTTCGATCCTCAACTATCCTGTCTTACGATATTTGTTTGAGAGAATTTGTTCAGTATTTTTAAATAATACTTTTAACACGTTTTACCAAACAAACAACAATGCATTCTACTGCTCTTAATGTACAATTTTGTGGAAGTGATTAAATATGAAAATTTGAGCTGTTCATCAAAATCCGATCATAATCAGCTTTTATTCTGGTGCTAAGCTTGGCGAAATTGCTTATTTCACTAAATTTTGATTTTATGTGAAAAACTGGTAATAATCGCCTTCGAGAGACTTTTGAAGTATCATGAGACGCATGTTTTGCTAAACAAACATCGTCTTTATCCTTTTTTAACAAAGTTATTTCAAATTATATTTTAAAATCTAAATTCATCCACCTATGGTAAGATTTGACTCTTCTTACTTATTTAAATTCCGACACAATTCAGGGAATCTAAAAAAAAAACTGCAAAGTTCTAGAATTATCTGGGAATTGTGTCATGAATAGTATTTTTGTAAAATAGGTTCGTTGGAGTTGATGTATCTGTTCATATATTTTAGTTTGTTGATTGACTTTAGTTTTATTGTGCAAAGTTTTGAAAGTCCACAAACTTGTATTTTCTCTAAATCATAAATCTTGAAAAAAAAATCCCAGAATTTTCAAAATGTGTTTTCAAGTTCCAGAATCATGAAAAAGCAAGTGTATCTAATTCCTAGGTCTTGAACATTTTTCATGGCCGTGCTAAAGATTTCGTCACTTTTTAAAGTCCCATAATCTTGGACATATGTTAATCCAAGATCAAAATTTTTCCATTCTGCAGAAGTCCCAGAAATCATTTGGTGTTTTGATTTTCGGATTATGACTCAGCAGTCTTAAATTCCAATTCTCTCGGTTGAACGTTTCTCTCCTGGGGCGAGAGCGCCGAAGCGACTGAATCGAAGTTCGTTTGGTATTTTATAAGACTGTTGAGTCTTAAGCTGGAAATCACAAAACTTACCGATTCAGTCGAATACATGGAAATTTTCGTATGTCTGAGATGCTATAGAAGTTTGCATATACAGGGTGTTCAATAAGTTCGAATACACTTTAGTAATGTGTTTAAAAATGAAAATACAAGATATTATTTTCTGAGTCAAGCTGTATGACGAGCTTGAGACGTTTCTCAAAAGAATCGCACGCGTCAAGCACCTGGTCCATCGACATCTCGTCTCAGATCTTGTAAATGAGCTTCTTAAATTGGTCCATACTGCTCACTTGATGTTCGCTTAGCTTGGCCAGCATGTACGACGGGGGGATTAGGGTCCGGGGAGCTGGGAGGCCACAAAGTCTTATCGAGAAAATCTGTCAAATTCTCCCGACGCCACGCTTGGACGATATTCGCCGTGTGCGCCGTCCTGTTGAAAGACGTAATGATCCTTCCTGTGGAGGTCCCGAAGTGCCGGGGTCACAACCTTCTCCAGAACCTCGGTCTTATAGTACGCGGCGTTGATTTTCACGTTTTTCTCGATGGGAGCTTCCCACGCCTGGATCCGCCCCCCCAACCATCATTGACTTGGCGCTCTGGAATCGCGGGATGTTTATTTGCGACGGGGGGATGCTGGTCAACGTCGGCGCCCACAGCCGATCATTTTGGACATTGTGCGGCTGTTGCAAGACAAAGAGTTTCTCATCAGAAAACACGAACTCCTGGCACGCAAAGTATCAGTTTGGCTCTGTCCAGCCTCTTCTTCGTTGTAGCCTCCGTTACCCCGTGAACCTTGCGTTTCTTGTACGGCTTGTATGCCACCTTGATGGCTGCTGGCGTCCTCACCGAACGCGGCCGCTCGGATCTCTGGTACCGACGGATGGTGATATAGATGAAATTCCGCTTCATCCCGTGGGATTTCAACCGCCGGAATATGTCACCGGGTCGCTCACCTTTCGCAAACAACATTACTACGACGTCGCGGTACTCCTTCATCGTGCGCGGCAAACAAACAAAAAATGACAACAAATCGACACCGTGCGCGTCGATTAGTCTATATATGAGGCTAAAGGTGATACCAATACTAATACACAGACTGCACATGGTGCGCACCTACACAACGATGAAAAGTTGTATTCGAACTCATTGAACACCCTGTACAAAGTGCCAACTACATGAAAAAAATCCTGAAAATTAGGGAATTTCAGGGAATACATTTTTGGACGTGGAAAACAGGGAATCTCAGGAAATTTAATTCAAACTCAGGAAATTTAATTCACCTTCGAGTAGATTGGTGCGTCTGCTAGATCCAGCTGTGTCCATCAAAAAGCAATTCCTTGCATTTGAGTAAATGCAAGAATGGTAAAGAGTTAAGCTGGGCTTAGACAAGGCAAGGCATTGATCAACTCAGTTGAATTCAATTAGCTTGAAGAGTTGAGCCTGGTTCAACTTTTTTTTTTTAATTCGAGGGAGTTGATCAAGTCAGTTGAATGGCATGGTTTCAACTGAGTTGATCAATTGACTTGCCTTGTCTAAGCCGAAGCTTTAAGAGAAGATGATGTTTTTTTCTAAATACTTCTAGTTATTGTTAATTTTGGTGTTCTTAAAAGCTTGACCAGCTCAGAGAACCAACTAAATGAGAATTTAGGATAATAGTTTTGCGCTTAGCAGGATTTTTTTTTGATTGCTTGGAGTAGCACTTCTATGATTGAATAATGATTCAAATATACGTAGACAAGCATTGCCTTGATAGCATATAGTGGCTTCAT